CAAAACGAATGGCGACGGAATTACGACTTAAAAAGAGTCACTTCCGAAAGACGCCGAATAACAACGGCCAATCAGAGCTTAGATTTGCAAAAAAGCAAAAACAGCCTTTAAAAACTAACTGATATACAGTTGTTTTCATTCTTGCTCAATTCCACATCTTCCATTCAAAACCTCCTCTCTCTCCAAAAAATAAATCTCCTGAATTCCTCAACAAAATTGAAATCTAACTCAGATTTTTCATCACAAAAATCCACAAAATGACAAATCCAAATAGCGAACTAGAGGAAGGTGAACTAATGGACCAAGATCATGTTCTAACCACTCTCGAGGAAATGCTTAAAGTGAGTACTTTTAAAAATTCTTTTGCTATCATTCACCACCAAAAAATATATTTGCAAAAAATTTATTTGGTTGGTCTTTTAACTCTAATAATACTTTCGAATCAAACCTCAGCATTTGATCCGAAAGAACAATTATATGCAAATACTGCAAATAATCTTCGGGTTGCTCATTATGATCGTCAACTAATGACTTCTAACAAAATGTTCTCTCTAAATAAAGTAGCACCTTGCAAAGTCCAACCAGAAAATATTAAAGTAGCTCATGCTTATGTTACTCTATATCAGAGACATTATCGCACAAAAGTAAATGCGACAATGTGTCGAATCAAACACCAATCAATGCGTTGGTTCTGCGATTCTTTTGATTCGAGTGGTATCGACGCTCGACAAAATATGATCACTACTGATCTTCATTTATCTGCCGATCAATGTAAATTGGCCGCCGATAGAGGCTATCTTAACCTAGGCTATGCTAGTATTGGAAATATTCCTTTCAAATTTAATGTTAAAACAGTAACTAATGCCCATGCTGGCAAAGTTGACGGCAAACATCATAACGAATGTGATGGCCGTTCTTGGATTAAATTGGACACTTTTGAAACTTACATGCAAAATGTAACTCTGACTGTTAACCTCAAAGATGGAACAGTCAATAATTGGCAAAACATTCCTTTGCCCTGTCCAGTGTCTACAAATGGATGTGAAACAACATCCTTAGACGCTTTTGCTTATACTTGGGAAGAACCCAACAATTGCATTTTCACTGTTTTAAACAGATCTCCGGCTAAAATGATTCAAAACGAAGAATCATACTATATAATTAAAGGCGATTCTAGCCCATCTATTCATTCTACCCATACAAGGGATTCTCAAAAATTTATGCTACAGGTGATGAATAAACCGCAGTCTCTTTGTGGTCATCCCAGAATAGTGTATCCAACTTCATATGATTCACTTTTTATTGCATACGCTGACGGTTTCAATATGGATACTGGAATCCAAGTTAAACCAACCCCAGAAACGGGAACTATTCATAATGCCGGCCAACCAAATTCTACTTTTCTCACATTAAGTGATGATTCGCCGCCACTCCAATTTTCAAGTCATCAAATTGACTACGAAGCTCATATAGGTACCAAATTGGACTATATTCTTTTTTATAGCTTCTACATGCTCAGAACGGCCGAGTTAGCCCTTCTGCAAAATCAATGTGAGCTAGAACGCTCCTCAATATTAAATACTTTAATGCTTTCACTTGAAAGCCCCCGTTTGGCTGGCTATATTCTAACCAAAAACCGTTCTATGTTCTTAGAGACCAATGGCAATGTTGCCTGGCTCTACCATTGTCCGAAATTTTATTCACCTTTGCAATTAATGGATGAATGCTATAATCGCATTCCCATTATGTATAAGGAAAACATTCGATTTGTCGATCCAATTACGCGACAAACTTTTCAGTCGGCAGATCTACAAGACTGCTCCGACAAACATTCGAATCTCTTTCAACTAGATGTTGATGATGATAAGTCCTGGATTGAATTAACCCCTCAAATTACAAGGGTTACAGGACCATATCTCTTTAAACCAAAAGAGATAATTCAAAAGATTAAGCATTCTCTAGCCTCTAGCCAAGGCGCTTCAATCTACACTTATGCTCAAATGCAAAAATTCTGGAATATGATTTCCGATAATTCAGAGATGAAAGGAATACTGCAAAAAGTATCCAGGTCCTTTCTAAATGCTAAAAAAATTCTTTTCAAGGACTCATACAGCCCACTAGGCTCTTCCCAAACAATCTATTTGGACTATCTCATCTCTCCAAACTTTTGGAAAAACGAATGCACCCGTATATTTGGGAAAGTACAATACTATTCAGAAAAATGCGGAATAGTCTTCGCTTCTTTTCTATTTGTGAAATTTGTTCTAGATTGCCTAGTATTCATAATAAAGGCTATGCATATTCACAAAATCACCGGCCGCTCACTACACTTTGGCAAAGTATTGCTTGCCGCTTCATATAATATACTTTTCACTTCCATAGTGACCTCAATTTTCACTCAAGATGAGCAAACTGAAAAAATAGAACAAGAATGTGATCAAAAAATACAAGCTCCTCTTTTAGAGGAAATTGATAAAATAAACCAGGATCGCATGTATCCTCACATCCAATTAACAAGTTTTGAGAGAAGAACTCACTTGGATCACCCAACAAACCCAGTCTAAAAAAAAAAAATTCTACTGTTCTAGGATATACCAACTGATTTAACTATGGACGCAACACTTGATGACGACTTGAGAGATTTTGAGGATCTTCTCTCACTCCTGCCACCAACCGATCCACTGGACTCGCAGATTTCAGCACTCACTCAACAACCAACTGTTTCTACTACTACAACACCAACTGCAAAGCCGACCTCAACACGATCCTTCGTTGAGCCACTACTTCAAACCAATTCAGCTGTCCCAATAACTACAGCATCACAGCCACCACCCCTAAAAATTTCACCCCCTGATTTCAAAATACCCCTGGTTCCCTCGAATTCCAAAATTAAAAAGCGAACCCAGATTGTAAAACCATATAAGATACTAACGGCAAATACGCCGGTATCAACTTCTCAATATCCAATGACCATTAGGCGACAGCCCTTGCACCCCACTGAATTAAACACTAAATTACATATTCAGTTAGAAAGGGAACGATACATTAATTCTAACAGTAATCCCGGCTTCGATATGGATCTCAATTATGCTTTGAATCCATTAATCAATCGTTTTAAATTAGAAGCCTATCACCCTATAAAAAAAATGTATTCCATAACTAATTCCCTTCTTGAATATCAAAAAATCTATGTCCCAGCAAAATATCTGACAGCAAAATTACAAACCCCCCAGTTAGATGACTATACTGAGCAAATTCAGCGCAGTCATATCCATGAAACGCATCAAATCCGGGAGCTGAAAAAGCAAATCCACAATTTGAAAACAAAAAATCACCAACTTATAGCCCGGTTGGAAGGAAAATTGTAAAAATTTATCCTTTAATTTAAACATTTACTCTTTCGCTTTATATAGCTATGTAGTATAGCTATTAATTTCCTTTCTCATCAATTTTGACTTTTATAAAAAAGAAAAATCACAAAAAATACCCCCTTTGTATGAACCAGCCCTCCCCTTATTACGCGTTTGGACAGACTTCACATACTTCAGGAAGAAAAGGAGACTTCGGAAAAAGAATGTTTAAGGAATAAAACTAACCTTCAAACTTTTGAGAAACAAATAATTTTGATGTATTTTATTTTATAGTTAAATCCCTTGGTTGTGTAAACTCTATTTTGATTTATAAATGTAGCTGATGTGTTTATATTCATTCAAGCCTGACTCAAAGTATCAGTTGTTCAAAAACATCTGCTACCTGTAATACCAACAAACTATTGAACCAACTTTATGAGATTGAAAGAAAAAGCTTCGATCGATCAACAATTACCCCACTATTCAAGTGAAAGTAATAAAAATGAAAGTTTCAGTTTTTTCCTCTCCAAATAGGAGGATGGATATGTTCTGATTTCAAATAGAAACAGAAACATGAATTATTTTACTGCGTTCACAAAATGTGACGCCGCCGCCACCACCAAAAGAAATATGTTTTTATTCCCTTGCAAAAGGAAGGGAAATGCTATTGGAATAATTCGTATAACGTTTTAAGCATTGAGAATTGAAACGACTATTCTCATTCAATGCGAATATTAACGATTCCTCTCGTAAAATACGACCATACGAAACCTTCTTCTCGTAAAATACGAATGTACGAATAGAGAATACGAAGTTAAGAAGTAACTTCTCATTTGATACGAAAAGTGGCGTGATTTCCCCATCTGAGTATAAATAGAAGCTCAAAACTACGGAAATTCATTCCCAACAATATCTCTTCTAACACCACAACCTCCCTCTCTATATTCCCAACAATATCTCTTCTAACACCAACACCACTCTCTTCTACCACCCCAACCAATCTCTAAAATAATATCTACTCTCAGTAAAAATATCTCTAATCTCACCGTTAAAATAGATATTGAGTCAAAAGGCAACTTGCTGTAAATTCATACCAACTTCTTTTTCTAATAAAACATTTTTCAGCGAATTTTAGATTTACTTTCTAAGATAGAAAGTAGAAAGGACCCTTTATTCCTAGCAAGCGTTTTGTCCGACGTCTATAGTTTTGCTAGCGTAATATATTTTCCGATCTCTCCCAAAGCAATTATAATTTTGAAAAAAGAGCAGGCCAAAATTTTGAAAAAACAGGCCAAAAAATGCGTTTTAGGCACTTTTTGGAAAATTTTGACCAAAAAATTGCGTTTTTTTTGGCGCGCGCTCCCCCTCAAATTAAGAATATATTGGCGACTTCAGAAAATGTTTAGGGTCTGTCACCAAAAATTGATATCTCAAAATAGTACAAAGGGGGACACTTTGGGTCGGCAGGGGCTCGAATTGCCGAGGGGGAGTGTCCCCCCTAAATCCGCCCGTGGCTTAAGTAGTGATCTCTTCTGAGGTCCGAAACAAGAATTAATATCTTCACGCGTTTATTTCATGCGAGCATAGTGTCATTATTTTCATACTGCTTTCTTTCACTGCTTTCTTTCATGAGCTTCGTTTTGCCACCAGAGAGGGTGCTGGAACATGTGCGCAGTGTGTTGAGTGAGGCGATGGACGAAGACGAGGCAGTAGAGTGGGACAGTGCATTGGAACTGTACAGTGAAGTGCGTACTCTCACTCTTGTTTTTAAACATTGCAAGTCCTAGCAACTTGTGTAAAAGAGTTTTTGTAAAGAATTTGTATGCCAGAAACATGCCGGGGTTCTTTCATCTTATGGTCGCACTCATCACTTCTTTTAATTGTCAGCCAGCAGTTTCTTTTCGTGTTGAAAGTGTTAGATAATTTTTCGGCTGAACCAGCGTTTATAAAAGAAGCTTAAGAATTAATTAATGTATTAGAAACAGGTTCTCAACTTCCTTATTGCTTCTTCAGTTGTTTATAAATTCGTATATTCTAATTATTTCTTCACCTTAACTCAGCAAAAAGTAATCTTGAATATTTTTTTCTTCAAGTTTTCAAGGAATAGCGAGTTAAAAAGCCTGTGAACAATCTCCTCCCCCTAAATGTCCAAGTGAACTATCATTGTCAGCCCCCCCTCCCGAAAAAATCTCACGCCAAGATGCCTAATGCTTTGTTTGGGTGCTAGAATGGTCGACATGAAAATTGGTTGAATTATTCTGTCAGAAATTAAAATAATTATTTCACTTGCGAGTACAAGTGTACTTGTAATCGGGAAGTAGACTTTCTCCGTAAACAACTCTTCTTACAAATGTAGGAAAAGTGTAGTTACTTTCACGTGCAGGCTGCTGACCTTCCCCATTTCTTGAAAATTATAATAAAGCTACCATCATTTAAGTAGTAATTAGGTTGAGTTCATTTTAAGCAGTAAGTTTTCCGGATGCTGGGTTTTCGTCCTAGTTTTCTGTGGATCTATTTCCAGTGTTTAGTTATCTTTTATCTGGTACGATTCTTGAAGTGATAAATCTCCGCTGCATGGAAAATATATGCGTGTTTTCGTGTGTTTCAGAAGGTATGGGTCTTGAAAACATATAAAACTCAGTTGCTCAAAAAAAATTTATGATATCAGTTTTGTTTTTAGCTGAACGAGAGTTCAACCCAAATAATGTAGCCTTAATAGCTGCTCGATAAGTCTGACAAATGATTTTGTGGAGATCATCCGAAAAACTTATAAAAATTTTATTGGTGTAGTTTTTTCAAGTTTTTCCAAGTTATTGTTCCGAGCACTGAAAGCGAGGAGGAGCTTTGTATTCGAGTGTGTTAGTTGTTTTCTTTCGAATGATATATCATATTACAGCCTCCTCAGTTGTGCTTTAAACAACATGAAAAAGGTCCAAGAAAATTTCTGAGTGTCGAGAAAAACCAGTTTGAGTTTTTTGTTTTTTTTTCGTCTAATTTTAAGCGCATAAAGCGAGCGAGCAGGCTTTGTTTGTTTTACAGTTTTAAAACTTAATAAAACTAGTTTTACTCAAGTGAAATTAGTTACCGAGATTTCTTTTAGCGCCTTTTTGGAAATAAAAGTTTAAGAAAGCATCAAAAAAACTTCTCCAAAAAGTTTAATAATTTAAAAGTTTTATATTTTTTTATTTCAAAAACTTGTCAATTGTCCCTAATTTTTGTACTATCGAAATTTTAGGCTTTCGCATAGATTTTCTGATCACACCAAAAGTAAAAGACGACGCAGTTTGAAAAATTAGCTTTTGTTAAATAAGGAAATAAGGCCGCAACATACTGCTATTTGCACAGCAACCGGTCATCCTTTTTTAGGTAATTTTTCAACTTAATTTTTTGAAATAGATTCGAATTGCATTTTTTTCTATTCGCTATGAATGTTTTTGTTTGACTAGTAATGCAACGGTTTCGTTGTATTGCAATTGTTGCGGAGTTCAGCTTCGCCTCTGCGTGAATATCATTATAAAGGTTATCAGACGAGTTATAGCGGGTTATTAAAACGAAGAGAGAAATCTTATTTCGGGTAAATGATAACACTTGTGTTTTCTCAGAACCTCGGCTTTCGAAGGCTGACTTTTGAATGGAAACGATTTTTGTTCCTTTAACCAAATGAATTTTATCCCCTCCAAAAAACTGGATGGGAGAATCGATATGGCTGAAAATAAAAAATGAAAGAAAAGAACAATAATTCCAGTAACTCAGTAAACTTTTCTCCTTGAAATCAATGGTTTTCAATTAGCTGAAAAACAAACTTTTTTTTTAAATTTGATATTCAGAATTGAGTCGTTCGTGAGTTTTGTCTTTGTATTGGGTGTGTTTTAGATTTTCTTTTTGTTTTCCATGCCAAATCAGGTACCACAAATAATTATCGAAATGAGTCGAGTGATCTATCATCTTAAAGCCGTTTCAATTAAGATTCGAACGGCATTAAAAAATTTATTTTTTATAGTGTCGAGAAAAACCGGTATTAAATTTTTGAATTTTGGTCTAGTTTCGTACTAATATGGTGTGAGTGTGTAGGCTTACAATAGCTTTACTCAAACAAAAGTTTTTTAGCGCCATTTTGTAAAGGAAGGAAATACTGAAAAAGTTACAAGGAGTTTAATAATTATAATAAATTTGTGCAATAATCCAACTATGTAGAAAACTTGCGATTGAAAGCACACCAACTTGAGGCAGCGGAGAATGTAATTCAACCAGTTGAAGCGCTGCTGAGAAGTTACTATTAAGTATCATCCTGTTCTGACGTGATTCGTAAATCTATCGACCAATTAGCCATAAGAAAAAAAAGATTGTAGAGTAATACAAATAGAAATTTGGAACGCAATTTATTCATATCTTTTTTAAAGAATATAATCGGAAAAAACGAAAATTTTTAGACCTATTTCGATTTCAACTAATACGATTTTGTTTTTTGGGTGTACGCTTTATGATCCAATGATTTTTTCTAAAGATCTTAATGCTTTCGTACCTAAACATTTTGTTAAATGTGTCGCAATCAACAAATAAGTATCTCTTAGTTTTGCATTAGATTGTCTTTTGACTATCTAGGATCATTTAAAACTTTTCTAATAATATTCAAATTGATAAGGGAGTTATATAGTGTCCGTGTTTTCTCGGAGATAGGTTTTTAAGTTATTTTACGTTAATTTTTCTTGTTAGTGATTTTTTTCTTCTAGTGGTATGTTAAGTGATTTGTCTAATTCTTGATTTAAAATGAATATTTTTTTTACTTCGCCATTTTCATGTTCTTGTCTTATTACTTTAGAAAGTAATTTCAATAGTTCGTATGCGTATAATTCATTGATTAAATAAATGCTCTGCATTTTGCTTATTGTCCTTACTTCGTTTGTTTTTTTTTTTCAAGCGAAACGCAATTCGAATTTAAAAAATTTGTACCTGCAAATTTCTTTAAGCAATTTTATTGGCAACTCCCTTTACTAAAATACTATTTTGATGTATAGATTGTATAAACTGCGTGTAAGTTCTAAGCAGAACAGATGAGCTGTGAAACAGTTTTTTAAAATGAAAAATGGAAATCGATTGCGTTTTTTTCTTACTGTTTCAATATGTTGGTTGAAGGTAAAAGTTTGATCCAAATTTAATCCCAGTTTTTAAACTGCATTTCTTAATTCTATTGTGTTTTACTTCCAGGTAAAAGTTTCAAGGTTTAATTTTCAGTTGGGAATTTTAAAATGAAGTTAATTTGGCGGAGCTGTAAATGTATCTTCTTGAGGTACGGAAGTAAAAATTGTGATACAGAATACGGCAACATGTGTATAATTTTTATAGGTTGCAAATACTAGATGTTGCAAATATATGCGTTTTGATAAAAATTATCAGTATAACAATATTATTGTCTTCTTAGAGTTTTTTATGATAGATATCAAGTATATCGACATGATTTTGATCTAAGCTCTTCAGGCTTAGGTAAATTGACATGGACTGCTTTCTTTTGTTTTCTTTATTGCGGTTTTCATCTGACAGGAGAATTTTTCGGACAAATTTGGAACTATGATTCTACCTAACATTAAAACGAAGTTAATTTGGCGGAGCTGTAAATGTATCTTCTTGAGGTACGGAAGTAAAAATTGTGATACAGAATACGGCAACATGTGTATAATTTTTATAGGTTGCAAATACTAGATGTTGCAAATATATGCATTTTGATAAAAAATTATCAGTAGAACAATATTATTGTCTTCTTAAAGTTTTTTATGATAGATATCAAGTATATCGACATGATTTTGATCTAAGCTCTTCAGGCTTAGGTAAATTGACATGGACTGCTTTCTTTTGTTTTCTTTATTGCGGTTTTCATCTGACAGGAGAATTTTTCGGACAAATTTGGAACTATGATTCTACCTAACATTTGAAACGATCTAGGTTAATTACGCTTATCGTTTACTATCATATTTGCGGTAAAATGGTTACCTTGAGATGATGTGTCCAATTTTGAATGTAATTATAATTGAGTTTGTAAAAAAGGTTGTTAATGGTTATCATTTTTAAGGTTCTGGACTTCGCGGGGCAGCTTTTGCAACAGAGGAGGGACAAAGGAGAATTGGGGGAGCAGTTTGAAACTGATCTGAAGAAACTAGTTCGCATCGCGTTTGAGAGGGAGCGAGACATCAAACAAAGCAAACTAGGACACGACAGGTTACCATTTTGGACCAAGTTAACATCCAAGTTATTTTTATCCACAGTTTTAATCCATCTTCAAATAGTAACTCAACAACAATCGTCTGAGCGTCTGAAACTTCGATTTCATTTTATTTTTTGCTTGTTTCGCTTGTTTCGCATTTTATTTTTTGCTTGTTTCTTCAGAGCTCTTAAACTTTAGTTGTAACTCAAAGTTTTTGAAGTAACTTTCTAAAATAGGTATAATGTTGTCTGATCGGGTGTTGTAGTGCTTTGCTTTTTCTTGTCTCTGTTGTTACCAATAATTGTATCTTTTCTTTTTTGTATTCAGAGTTCAGTCTACTTCGGTTGGTGCGGCTGCGAGTCGGGCCAATGGAACTGCCTCCACCTTCACGGAAGAGGAGCTGCGAGTGCTTCAGCTGACATCCACCATCAACTGCCAGCTGTTCGTCCCATTCGTTTCACAAGATGCTGCCCAGCGCTTCTCATCACGACAGAAATTCAAAGGTAATTGATGTTAACTTTTTCATATGAGCCAAATTAACTATTTCTGCCGGTTCGAGCGTATATTAGTTCAGTTCAATCAACATGAAACCAACGTAATTTATACTAAAATTGTATTACGAGAGCGATTGTCCTAAAATTGGTAACTATATTTTTAATAGTAAGCAGCAATGTTCCAGTAAGCAGTTATTAGTTGCTGTGGATCTGTTCCATTATACGGCCCCAGAATGAAAATTGTCAGAATTCATATTAACCAAAATAACTCTGACAATAAATTCAGTTTAAATTCAGTGTTTAGTTCATCAAGTTTGAAATAAGCAAACCAATAGTGGGATGTCAGGGTTTTCCCAGGTTTTACGATTCTGGCCTCCATATATGAATAACTAAATCCTTTTAGTTTCACGAGATACGGTAATTTTCGAGGTGTTTCAAAAATTTCTAGAAAATTTAATTTAAAAAAATTTCTCAATTTTTGAAATTTTCACACTGTAGTTGGGTGCTGTCAGGGTACTCTCAGGGGTTGCGAATCTTGCCTCCAAATCTCACTTCTCAAATCCTTGTAGTTTTTGAGATATGACGTTTTTTATGATTTTTTCTAAAATTTTCAAAAAAACTTAGATTTTGAAAAATTCCGAGGCTTTGCGAATCTTGCCTCTGAATTTGACTGCTGAAATCTTTGTAGTTTTCGAGTTATGACGTTTTAAGGATTTTTTCCGAGAACTTCGAAAACTTGGATATAGAAAAAAAAAATTTTCAAGAACTTAGATATGAAAAATTTCACAAAATCTGAAGTTCCCATCTCTATAGTGAGGCTCTCTCAGGGTACTCTCAGGAGTTGCGAATTTTGCCTCCAACTATGACAGCTCAATACCTTCTAGTTTTCCAGATATGACATTTTTTATGATTTTTTCAAAAAATTTCAGAAAACTTCAGTTTAATTTTTTCTTGAAAGTTTAATTTTCCCAAGTCTGAAGAAGGGTCTGTCAGAGTAGTCTCAGGTTCTCAGGAGTTGCGTATTTTGCCTCCAAATATGACAGCTCAAAACCTTTTAGTTTTCCAGATATGACCTTTTTCGTCTTTTTTTTTCAAAAAAATTTCCGAAAACTTAAATTAAACCTCCTAAATTATGCAAAATCTGAAATTCCTAGCCTGTAGTTGATGGCTGTCAGAGTACTCTCAGGGGTGGCGTATTTGGCTTTCCATTAAGAAAGTCCAACTTTTTTCAGCTTACGGGATACGACGATTTTTGTCATTTTTTTCTAAAGAAGTTCTCAGAAAACTCAAATTACAAAATAGTTCACAAAATTTAAATTCCCAACACTGTAGTTGTGTGCTGCCATAGTACTGTGTTTGAATTAGACTGCTCAAATCTTTGTAGTTTTTGAGGTGTGATGTTTTTTCTGGTTTTCCAAAAATATCTTATTTTAGAAAACTTAAGTTTGAAGTTTCTCAAAATTTGAATTTCCCAACGTTGTAGTTGAGTACTGTAAAGGTACTCGCAGAAGTTGCAAATCTTGTGTCCAAATGCGACTGCTCAATTAATTTAAGTTTCTAAGATATGCCGTTTTTAGTTCATTTTGAATTTTTTCAAAGAACTTATATAAAACTTCACAAAGTTTTATGGTTTTTCAAAATTTGTATTAAAAAACTTGAATAAAAAACTTAACTAATTACGATCCCTGTAATTTGGCGCTGTCAGAGTACACTCAAAGGATGCATATCATGTTTCCAATATATGCGGTTTTAATGAGTTGTTAAGAATTCCAAGCACCGGAGGTGCGTTACACGCTAATTGCTTTTGAAGTCTAAACTGTCAGTCAATTCTCAGAGTCTCTGAATTTGCTTAGAGAATTTAATTTCGTTCAAATAAATATTCGGCGCAGTGCATGTTGTTTACGTGCTTCGAGCGTAGTGTATTGAAACGAACTTTGCTTTTGAAGTCTAAACTGTCTAAACTGACACGCTAATTGCTTTTGAAGTCTAAACTGTCAGTCAATTCTCAGAGTCTCTGAATTTGCTTAGAGAATTTAATTTCGTTCAAATAAATATTCGGCGCAGTGCACGTTGTTTACGTGCTTCGAGCGTAGTGTATTGAAACGAACCTTCTTTTTTTTCTAACCCAACTCGCTCGCAAATAAACGTGTTCTTTTATTTGGCAGCTCTTACACTTGCGAACTTTAGTGAGGTAGTGTTATACTACGGCTCTTCTCTTTTCTAACCTAAGTCGCAAATATTGGTGAAGTTTTTAATTGCATGTGCTTTGACATTCGATTAGTAATAATTTAACAAAGTTGATGCATTTCTCATTGTTCAAATGAACAAAAAAGAGATCTGCTTCAAAATCAAAAATAAAAACTCGATTTCAGAAATTTTCCAACTCAATTGATCTCGAAATTTTTGAAATGCGTAATTTATACATAATGTGGCTTTGTGCTTTGCGTTTTGATACATGCAAAGTTAGTGTGGATGCCTTCAGTTTGTTATATTCGAAACTATTAATTGCAAAGTTCAGTATTTGTATTTGGTGCCACTTTTGCTGAATGGCATTGGCAATTTATTAGCATATGAAGCTGTGTTTTTGTTTGGATAATAACACTTGTGAGAGCAAGGCATATGTGAGAAAAGTTTTTTTCCTGTATATAATTTTTACAAATCTTTTGCTTTTCTTACTTGATTGATTATTGAACATAAAACAATTTCGAGGCTCTTTCCCATTTGGCCCAGAGGTCTGTTTCTTTTCAGTATGTGTGAAATTAATTTTTCCGTTAAAATTTGAATTGGCGTACTTTCGGGTATCTGTTCAAGTTCTGTCGTAATAGTTGCCGCATCACGGATTTTTTTTGCGATGAGCAATTTTCATTGTAGTTGCAAGTGTCGTTCATTGTAGTTCCATGGAAACTTAAAACTTTTTTTACAAAATGATTTTTTTTTCGGCTGAATTGATGTCTGCTTAAAATTTGTTGGCTTTGTTTCTGCTTCGTAAGTTTTGTTCCGTTGCTATTTTTATATTAAAATGTTTTGCATTGCATGTTTTCCTAGAATGAATTTTTATCGAGGCCTCCGAAAGTTTTGGTAGACCTTTTTTCAACATATTTTTTGTATCATGTTTGTGTTGTATCGCAAGTGATTCGAAACTCCGCTTTGCCCCTGTGTCACAATTAATTTCATTTTTATTTTTTGGTTTTTCGATTGGTTATAAGAAGGCAATAAATGAAAGCTGAATGGAGTAAAACTAGTTCTAAAAGTTTCTGCACATTTTAATTTTTGGATTTTTCTAACGAAACTTCAAATTTTTATCTTATAATTTCCGTTTCTGTTATCAAAACCAATAAGTGGAGTTTAGCGACAGAATTTGAATATATCTTATGATTTTGGGCACTATTTTTCAAATAAATTTCGAATATTTTGGTGACACGAGAGTTTTTTTTAACGATTTTTTATTTATATGTGCTTCTATTGTCATAAAATAAAATAATGGAGTTTTCTATTATGAATGGACTAAGAATCTAGTTTTATTTGATTACTTTTGCTTGAAAATGAATTCATTCAACTTTTTAGATCCAAAATGATTGATCCGATTTGAAGTACTTCTTTTGAATTTGTGGAATGTCAGCTGTTTTTTGTGAAGGTTGATTTTCTTTAGAACTTCACAAATTATAATGTGAAACAATTAAAATTCAGCAAAAATTATTGATAAATTATTGATAACATTATCTTTTTTTACATAAATTTTATCAAATATATATTTTTTAATTTTTTTACGCTGGTTTTTCTGTTAATCATCATCATCAGCATCTTGCTGTTTATGCACCGATTTCGATCTCGACGGTGTCGAGGCCTTAAACGGCTTTCTTTTAATTTTTTTTGATGTTTTTTTTTTCAGACAGTGAATTTTCTTGTTTTTTTTTATATAAGGGCGTGGGGCGGTTTTTTTGTGGTCTTATTTATTCATTGGTAAAGCCAAAAAACTACATTAAAAAACTTAATTTTTTTGGGTTTGATTGTTGTTATAAATGCATTTTTCTTGTTCGTAGATCCCGACGGTCTGTTGACTCTGAATGAGAAAATGAGGCGCCAGTTCACTAAGTGGGTGCGGCCCAGTGACGTCATGAGTCAGCCCCAGATGATCATGCAGATATCTCCCTTCTCCCTCAAACAGACAGTGGTGCCCAACTGCAGCTTCGTGTCCGCACTCACCGTCTGTGCAAACTACGAAGCCAAGTAATTTTTTCAGTCGATCAAATTGTTTGGCTAAACTCTTATTGAATATTAAACGGTCTCTATTTGCCAAAATTTTTTGCGCTTCAGGCAGTTTTTTAAGAATCCCTCACTCAACCAGGGGATCTTGGTAGCCAATTTTTTTCTGGAAAAAATGTATGGTCAACCTGAAAATGGGTTAGGTGAAAGTATTAAGTAGGCATCGAACGTGATGAACATGTGGGTGCAGAGGGATTGAATTCCTGAACGTCTACTTCCTCCTTCATCGGATCATGTTTTAACAAATTTTGATTTTTTGAAAAAATAAATTAATTCATACGAGTTTCCAGTAATACGGCGCATGTTAGGTAAACTCAGTTGATCAAAAAGTAATGAAATTCGCTCTCCAAAATGCACGTGAGAGTAATCTCACTTATATTTTCAAAAATTGGAAGAATTTTTGAAGGTTATCAGAATTATGAAAACAAAAGAATTCCATTCAGTTTTTTTTCGAAGAATTTTCAAATTTCTAGAATTGTAACCATCTTTTGTGCCAGATGGAAAAAGCAGCTCGTTACATCTATCATATATCCTCAGAAGAACAGAGTGCCTATTTACAACCCATCTGGAAAGTACATGGTCAAGCTACACTTCAACGGCTGCAGACGAAAAGTCATAGTGGACGACCTCCTTCCTTACAGCTGGCAATTAATGTGTGCTACATCAACTAACAGGAATGAACTATGGGTGTCGATAGTTGAAAAAGCATTCTTGAAAGTGATGGGCGGTTATGATTTTCCGGGATCTAACTCCTCGGCTGATCTATATGTCTTAACAGGCTGGGTTCCAGAACGCTACAACTTGAAGGACTCTTCGCTTTCATCGTACAAGAGTCCGGAGGACTTTTTCGACATGATTCTGAAGTATTTCAAAGCTGGAAACTGTCTCATTAATTTTGGAACAGGTGATTATTTAAGCGAGAATAAATCGAGCTAAAATGAAGTTAAATTGTGTAGTTTTTGTGTGGCCGATGCATGATAATTATGTGCAGGTTTTGCAGAATTTTAAAAGAATTTTTGAGCTCTTGAGTTGCGTTTTATAGGTTTTGCTCGACTATTTTTTTTGAACCAATCATTTTCCTGCTATTTTTCAGTTATCAATAATTTTCGCTGAAATTGAATTGTTTCACATTCTAATTAAGTTTTAACGTTTGTGAAGGTGCTCTCACTAATGAACAGGAAAAGATGTTGGGACTTGTTACCCAACATGGCTATGCGTGCCTCGATCTAGTGAACTACAAGGGCCGCCGGATGGCTCTGCTGAAGAATCCTTGGGCTCACACTAGCTGGAAGGGCGCCTTCAGCAAAGAGGACACAACTAACTGGACGAGGGAAATGAAAATGGCACTCAATTTTGACCCGACTAGCTTGAAGTACGTCGACAACGGAGTTTTCTGGATCTCATTCGAAGACATGAAGAGGTATTTGTTTTTAAATACTTGTGAGTTGCGTTTTGTTTCTGCCAAAATCCCTGTTTGCCAAAAAGAGCGTTTCGTTATAGTCTTTTTGGTCAGGAAATAGCCTGTAAAAGTTGCCTAACCTCAAATTTGGCTCTTCGAGCTTCGACCATTCGTTTTTTTTCAATTTCAATTCAAATTTATTTTCTAACATGAAAACAAAATACGCTATCCAATTGCGAAAATGCAAATGGCGCAAAAAAAAACGAACGACTTTTAAGTTTCAAAAGTGGGTTTTATTTTTGAGATTTTTCAGCGGAATAAAAAGTTTAACTTTGATCTTGTATTCTCTGAAGTGGGTTAATTTAAAAAGAAAGCTCCAATCGTAAAAAAACTTTGAAATTCGAAGATCTTAAGGCCATGTATTTTTTTCTTTGAAAATGTTACGGATCGTAATTACCTTCCCCTGTTGTACCTAATAAAGAATTCTACCCCTTATAAAAAAACTAATTCGATGATGAAGGATATCTTTAGGATATAAGAATTTTGTACCTTGTAGCGATAATGCTTTTTTGCAGTATTCTTAACAAGATCCAATGCTACAAAAATGACCAGTCATTTTTTTCGGTTACCGCAAGTTCATTGTCACTTTTCCAATGTTCTGCTGGTCTTCCAACGAATGCACCGATTACTTAGGTTTTACTTTGCTGTAGATATTACGACTCCTGTTCTGTCAGTTGGAACCCAGACTTCTTCCCACATTGCCAGATATTCCACCGAACATGGTCATGCAACGAGGGTCCAAAGAAACAGAGCTATTCACTATCTAAGAACCCTCAATACGTGTTAACGATAGAGGTCATAAGTCAGGCTACAGTTTGGCTTCTGTTGTCAAAGCACATTACAAAAAAGAGTGACTTTGCGGATAATCATATCTACATGGGCTTGGAGGTGTTCAAAAAGGGAGGCAAAAAGGTCTATTATGCAGAGAAGCCTCTGTTACAGAGTGTTCAGTCCAACGCCATGAACACTCTTGTAAAGCTAAGAGAAACATCGAAAGGTAATATGCAGACGAGTTCTTGGAAAAACGGAAGACACGATTAATGGGTTCAGGAGTAGAATTTCGGCGATACTATTGGTATTTCAAGCAACGCCGATTTCTTTCACTTTTATGGCTTATTTCTTTCTATGTTTCTGTCTCTTTCTTGAAATATTTCTATGCGACGCCGAACCAACGTTTTTTTCAAAACACAAAAAAGGGTTAATAACTCTTGTTATTGTCAATTTGTTAAGTGTCGCTGAGGTAGTTCAGACTCTTATATAGGTCACGATGATTTTTGTTTTCGTTTTATTTTTCCAGGAAAAGATTTTTGGTTTTTTGTTTTTTAATTTTATCGTGGTTTGACTTTTGATTTTGTATCAGTTCAGTTCATTTCCGTTGTTAAAACGAAGGCAAACTTCACTAACAAATGACAAAAGTGTAAAAGTCATAAAAATCGTGATCGATTCAAATTTCGAAAACGGAATTTAATTACCTGATTTCCCAGCGAATTTTTTTTTCCAATGATCTAGTTTTTTCAAAATTGTTTAATGTTATTAAAAAAGTGTCAGTCATAAATTAATCTAAAAATTCAAAGAGCTCTAGGGCCATATATTTTTTCGTGGAAATTTGAAAGTTAGAATTATTAAAAAAGCAAGTCAGTGTTTTTTTTTCTATTTGCGTTCATTGACTCTTTCCAACTGTTTGCTGGTTATTTTTAAGTCAGGTTATATTTTGGGATCTTTTTTCGTTTTCCCAGTGTGACCTAGTTATTACATAGTCATCGGCGTTGCAATAGTCGTTTTGCTATCATCTCTACTAATCTGCGAGTTTAGAAGGTTTTGTTTTTTGATTGTTGATGACAATCTTATAAAAGTGTCAACTATTACAAACTTATTACACCTGCGAGCTTGCAAGCGTAGTTTTTTACGGTGAGTATACGTTTTCCAACCAAAGTCGCGTATCTTAGTTTTTATTTGTAATTTATACTGAAATAAAAATTTTTCAGGGGTCCAATGATTTTTACTCATTTGAAGATCGACGCCCTGAGGTTAAATGTTAAAAGATAATTGATCTGTGAGCATTATTTATAAATTTTGAGAGGCTTGAAAATTGTAAAGCTATAGAAATACCTCTAACAGTAATAAACGTAGTAAAGACTTTTATATAGGTCTAGGTGACTTTTTTGATCGTTTTTTTTTTTCAGGAAAAAGTCTTAAAATGATCTAATAACTACAGATGCGCATTCATTCATATTAATGCATTTAGGTATTAATGCACTCTTTGAATTCAGTTGAAATTCATCTGGTAGAAGGTAGGCAAAATATATTCTCCAATTATAAATGCTAATATGGCGCGCAAAATTGTGATCGATTTCTAGTTTCGAAAATGGAATTTATTTTAAGATTTCCCAGCGGAGTAAAACTTTACCTATTAATCCAGTTCTCTCAAATTGGGTTAATTTTATTTAAAAAGCACCAATCATGAGTTTTTCTTGAAGTTCAAAGAGTTTTAAGGGCATATATTTGTCTTCAAAATTCGAAAGTTGAAGTTTTTTCAAAAAACAAGTAAGTTTTTTTTGTTTCCTTGCATTCATTACTTTTTTCCAACTCTCTGTTGGCTATGTTCTTTTTATTGTTATTTTTTCTGTGTGTCATCAGTGTGCGATTAGGACCTACATTTACTTTTAAGTTCAGTTCAAAATAGTTTGCTAAATGAAAAGAAAATTATGCTATTCAATAAAGAATATGCGCAAAACGTGTTTTTAATGTTCAAAAGCAAATTTTTATTTTAGGATTTACTTTTAAATTTATTCATTGATTCAGTTTTCTCAAACTAGGCCAGTTTTTTTTCGCAATTGTCATTATAAATCAATTCTTCAAATTCAACGCATTTAAAAGATTATGTATTTTCTGTAAAATTGCATCAAAATGGCACTTTTTTTCCGAATTTCAATTACACTTGATGTTTGAAGTTGATTTTGAGAAATTTTTTATTTGTGGATTTTTATGCGCATCGTTTCAAAGCTATTTTTTTTCGCTTGCGTTTTCCAATTGCTTTTTTGCTTGTGTTTTTACTGAAATTTTTCGTTTAATTTGTTTTGGAGCGTATACAAGTCGTTGTTTCTCATGAACGTGCTATAGTTTGACATAGGTAGAGTGTATAGTTCATTAGTTGGGAAGTAAGTTTTGTCATATCCTTATTTATGCAGGTAATTCAGTTTTAAGAATCATAATTAGGTTTAGTTGTTTAAGAGTCGATGAACGTTGTTCAGACTCATATGGGTCATTATTTTTTTAAGTTTTTTTTTTTCAGGAAAAGTCTCACAGGAAAATTTCAGGCTCAAATTAAGTTTTTCGCGGTTTGACTTTTGATTTTTTTCTAAGTTAGTTCATTTCCTTTGTTAAAAGGAAAGCAAACTCCACGATCGAACAGCGAAAGCGTATAGGTCACGAAAAAAAGTGATCGACTTCTAATTTCGAAAACAAAATTTTATTATCCTTTTTTCCAGCAAAATAAAAAGTTTAGTTTTGCTTATTGGTCCAGTTTTCTCAAACTGAGTTATTTTCATCAAAAAGTGTCAATCTTAATTTTTTTTAGAAAATCAAAGAGCTTTAAGGTCATCTATTTTTTTCTTGGAATTTCAGAAGCTGAGATTTTTTCTTAAGACAAGTCTGATTTTTTTTTGTTTACTTGGGTTCAGTGACTCTTTTTCAGCTGTCTGTTGGCTAGGCAAGGTTTGTATGTAAGATATACAGCTTGAGTTATAACAATATCCGCTTAATAAAAGCGCTTTCACTGCTGTCTGATATTTCATGTTAAAGCGTGTTGATCTAGAAATCCTAACTATCAAGGCTTAAATTCTCTAAGAGTTTTTTGGATTTTTGGGCTCTTTTTTGCTTTTTTTCCAAGTATAGTGTCGCCTCTGGTTAATTTTTCACTTGCGAGAGCAATAAACTTGTAATCGGGTATTTTTTTGTTATCGGCTCAACTTTTTGTTATCGGCTCAACTTGCGTCTACCCAAGTATTATTGGCTTAGTTACTGCTAGATAAATGTCGCCTTAAGGCTTATATTAACCCCGGAACTTTTGTTCTAAGATGGCTTTTCCGCAATTTGAATTTCATCCGAGACAAACGTTTAAAGTTTTTGGTAACGGCAGCTTTTGGTTATTTTTTCTAATATTTTATAGTTCGGCTTGCTGGTTTTCCTCTCATTTCCGCTCTGCCAGCTTACCATGCTATGTTTGTTATGTGTTGAAAGTGGCATGAAGCCACGGTTCGCCTCTGATGAACAACTTGGGTGTTTACGTTATAACAACTTAATTTTTTCAATTTCATTAGACTTGACGAGAGTCGATTGACATTGGGTGTGCATGTTTAGGTGTGCATCACTACACAGTTGTCGTGTGTCAGTATGAGAAGAGTGAAGATCTACATTACACTTTGAAAGTGTTCAGCATTGTGCCTATTGTGTCCATGCGTGAGCTGCGTCCCCTCCCTCACCAGTACAGCAGCAGCGGACAGTGGGACCACTCCAATTGTTAGTGCTTGTAATTTTTAAACGCAGTACAAGTAAAAAAGTTCCTGAAATTTAGTATGGTAGTTCCTGGAAGTATGCTAGTTTCAGTATGATAGTTCCTGGAATTAGTCCAAGTTCTAGATAGGAATTCAGATTGGTCCCTGAATTAGTCCAAAGTCTTGACAGAAAATCAGATTAGTCCCTGCAGAGTTTTTATTGTGCTTAAAATCTTCCGAAACAGGGTGTGCAATTGTCTAATTGTGTTATTGAACTGTACTCAAAAATCGCCGGCCCCATCTTTCATACTTGCTTTTTGTTCAGGGATGCCATAAGCATACTTGCTTCGTTCTCTGCCATAGTTCATTTTTTTGCCTTGTCTGGCCGTTTCCAGTGCGTATTTGGATTTGATCTTTCAATACTATAAACAATTAAAGAGACAAGATTTTAGAGCCAAGGTTAGCGAAATACTCTGAATACTTGAATTTGTTACTATTTTGCTAGTCTAGATATCTTAGTAAATATAGTTTTTCTATCTTCTTTGAGCCAGAAAACGTGCTAAATGAATCCAGTGTTATGTTCGAATTTTGACTCATTTAATGGTATTTTGAATCGCTTGATTGCTAATTAGAGTATATGCGCATCCAGCGTCTACTGATTCTCTCATTGCTTTGCAGGCGGTGGTCCTCACGGGGACAAACCGAATCCCTGCTACAGAGTTGAGATCGGGTCTCCTAACAGCGATGTCAAGTGTCGACTAGCAGTGGAACTGAAGGCGAGCAAGAACTTCGGAATATTCGTCCTGATTGAAAATGTTTCATTGCATCATCGCAAGAACACGGATGTTTTCAAACCAGTAAGTAGCGGTGGTAGAGTATGATAAATTTGGCCTTTGTCTTATACTCCATGTGCTCCAAAGTCCTTGAGCAAAAGATGCAAATCATAGGTGCCATACGCAGTGTGATAGATTGAGAAAATTCTTTTTTGGGGTAATTTAGAAGACGCCGAAGTAGTTAGAATTTTTTCCTGTTATTTTGGAATTAATGCTATCAGCGCAATTGGTGATGTTTGCTACCAAATTTCTCCTTGGAAACTAAAATGATCAAATTCTTGGGTAGAGCTGGTAGACAAGACAATTTATCAGCATTTTTAAGTCTAGATTAATTAATGGGATTGGATGAAGTGCATAAATTTACAGTGCTTGAACCGTTTCTTGGTTAAAATTTTTTCGATACTCATTCAGATTTACCCGTCGAGTGGAGTGACGCGTGAGTACCGCAGTGCCTACTTTGTATTCGACGATACCATCCAATCTGGAGTATACAAGCTGACTCTCTCGACTTACCAGAAGGACCTCACTGGGCCATACATTTTGGACATAGCCTCCACTCTTCCCCTTAAAGTCACGCCTTCTAACGCAGTTTCTACGACGTCTAAAACCAAATGAAAGTGAGTACAGTTTTGATAGATAATAAATCAAACTTTCATATATGATTACACCTGTGATCAGCATAGTGTGTTATTACGAACCTTCTTTTTTCTAACCTAACTCGCAAGTAAAAGTGTATAAGTATGAACTTTCTTTTTTTTCCAATCTAAGTCGCAAATAAAAGTGCTTCATTTGGTGGCACTTTTGAATCGGTTGGCTGCGTTAGCAATATAATGTCATATGTGCTTTGACATTTGATTAGTAAAAAGTTAACACATTTGATGCATTTTCAATTCATCAATTGAACCGAAAAAAGTTATTTGTTTCATACAGCAGTCAGATGATAAAAAGTTCAATTTTAGAAATTTTCCAACTCAATTTATCTCGCATCTTTTTTGAAATGCATAATTTGTCTTTATACTTTCTAATTTATTACATGCGAAATTGTATCTTTTTTATTTGAAGCTACTTTTGCTGCATCGAATTGGCAATTTATTAGCATATTTAGCTGCATTATTGGTGGCTAGTTTTTGGGGATTTTAAGCATCCGTGGCTGAGTGGTTAGTTCGTGAGACTCAAATTTGCTAGGTCACAGATTCGAACCCGACAAGAAGCCGAGTTTTTGCTAACTAGAGGCCTATTTATACTTTTTTGATTTCATTCGATGGCGCTGCATCTTGATTTGCCTCTGTGTTTTCCCCCTTAATGTTAGCATATCTATACAAAAACTTTTTAAAAGCAAAGTTGAAATTCCATCGTCTAATTATCAATCCTGTTTTTTTTTTACTGCAGTTTATATTTCTGATAGCACGGTTTTTGTTAGAAGCTATTTACGCTTGAGATCAGCCACCGTTATCAAATTGTAACTAGACTTTTTTTAGGGTTTTCAGGGTAGCAACGTATTTTTACAAAATCACTTAAATCATTTGCTCAATTGTGTCAGCATATTACGCTACTTTTTACCTTACCCCATGTTCTACGGCCTTCAAGTTTTTTTCGATTGTTTTCATCTTCTGAAAAATTGGCCTGTTAAATTTCGGATTAAAAGTTTAATCGATAGATCATGTCACAAAGATCTCCCCTGCAGAAACCTTTAAGCCCCAATACTTGTAGAAAAAAGTTATATAGTTATAAAGTGTCCAATTTTTGAAACTTGACGGCTTCGTTGAAATGTTTTTGGAAACGTTTTCACTCTCGAATAATAGCCAGCTAAATCAGATTGCGAATGCAATTAATGGAATGGGTAGTAAGAAATTCCCCTAATAATGGATATTCTCATTATGGTTTTGCGTACAGTCCATTTTTGACATACCTCATTTTCTTCCGCATCTGTAGAACATTTCCAAAAAGTTCAAACAGTTACCTCCTTGTAACTGGTTTTCACTGTCAACAAGAGCAGATGGCGCTGTTAGGAGGATAAAAGCCTCTCAATTTCCAAGTCTCTTCTTCGAATATGGCGCATAGAGAGTTTTTTTTTCTTTTCAGACTTCTTTTTGCTGATTACTTTACCTTTCTTTTTTGCCTCTTTAGGGTGCTTTTTGTCGTTTTCTGTTCTACCTACGCGAAGTGCAGCTTCGCTTTTTGTTAATTTTTATGGGACTTTGTGGCTTTGGTCTTTTTCAATTTGCTTCGCTTTTTTTGTTTTATCGCAAGTGGCGGGAAGCTATGCTTCGCCTCTAATTCAAAATATAAAACACTTATATTATATCTTATATTTTATTTTAAGTCGTTTTCAATTGCTATGAGCGTGTTGTTTAACTGCTCACTGTTCGTAATGTCTAAGAAATTGATTTGAATTAACACGTTTAAGTTTCAAGGTAAAGCGAGTTTGGAAAGTTCGAGATCAAATGTCTAGACAAATTGTCTTGAAGTTTTGAGCGCAAGGCAAGGACAGGCAGGACAGGGGAGCGCAAGGCAAGGAGGGGCAGAGCAGCGTTTGGCTAAAAGGGGGTGAGCAGGAAGAGAAGCGCAAGGCAAGGCAAGGAGGGGCAGGGCAGCGTTAGGCAAAAAGGGTAGGCAGGAAGGGCAGCGCAAGGCAAGGAAGGGAGAGGGAAGTACGAACCAAGACTGAAGAACCAGGCAACGTAAGGAGGAGCATGACAGGGCTGTGTTGAGCAATGCAAAGAAAGGCAGATCAACACAAGCCAATGTAGCACAGAGAAGACGGTAGCGTAAGCCAGCGCAAAGAAAGGCAGCGCAGAGCAGCGAGATAATAGACAATGTAGGGCAGTGTAAGGAGCATTGCAGGGCAACGCGAAGCAGGGCCTTCGCAGCGAAAAACAAGGCAGAGCAAGGCAAGCCAGGGTAGCGCAAAACAAGGCAGGGCAGCGCTAGGCAATGCTGAGTGATGCAAGACTAGGACAGGGCAACGCAAAGCACATCAATGCAGCGGAAAGAGGGACAAGGCAGGGAAGCGCAAGACAAAGCAGGATGAATTTCATTATGTTCAAGGTCATTGTAATTTTTCCTAATTTAGCCCCCAGATAATTATAACGCGCCTGATCATACAAACACAGCGTGTTGGTGTATCATTTCTTCGAAGCAAGGCAGGGTAGAACAAGGCAGCACAGGACAGCGGAAGAAGGGGCAAGTAGGAGCACGAAAGTGCAGCGCAAATATGGGCCGAACAGCGCAAAATAAAAGGAGTGCAGCGCAATGCAAGGCAAAGTAACGCAAATCAGGGCAAGGCAGCGCAATGCAGGGCAGATCAAGGCTGCGCAAAAATATGCAGAGCAGGGAAGCGGAAGAAGAGGCAGGGCATGGCATGGCAAGGCAAGACAGGGCAGCGCAAGGCAGCCTAGGACGGGACAACGCAAAGCACAGCAATGCAGCAGAAAGAGATACAAGGCAGAGAAGCGCAAGGCGCAACAGTGTGAGTTTCATTATGTTCAAAGTTAATGTAATTTTTCCTTGTTTAGCCCTCTGACAATTTAAACCCACCGTGATTATACAAAATCAGCGTGTCGGTGTATAGTTTTTCTTGTACTAAGCAAGGAAGGGGGTTACATGTGCGATAGAGTGGTCTCAATAAATGTGCAGGGTCCAGCAATTTAGAAGAAGCCTCAGTCATTCAGTTTTTTTGCTTCGGTGATGTCAGTTGAACTATTAAGTAAGTAAATAAAGCAAATCGTTTTCGTGCAAAAAAAATGAAAACGACCGAGCGTTGTCTATCATACTGATAAACTGAATTATACTTAAATGCTCTATAATATTGATGCGCGAGACACCACTCGCATACTTGCCTAACAGGGGCCCACTCTATCACACTTCAAGGAGTGAACGGCGGACTGTAACGCGATAGAGCTTTTTTTTCAGTAGAGCCTCAAGAGACATTAAAACAATTCAAACTTTCAACTCTTTGTTGGTCGAAATCTTGTCTTATGTCACGTTTTGCGAACTTATCTCAGCTCTACAACCAATTACGAATGCTTCAATCCTTCTTCAGAACTTGTTTTTCTAGCGTTTGAATTATTTTTTGGGAACTATGAAGCCATCATGATGATTTGAACAGCCGATCGGTAGATAATAAATAAATAACTATCTTTGAAATTATTTTTTTTGAAGATGCATCATTTCAAAAGAGATGGGTTAAAACCAATTGTGCTACTCCGTTTAACTTGCTTTTGATACTTGCTTACTCGCTTTTGATACTTGCTTACTCAATACAACATAATCAATTCTGCCTAACTTTTTGAGTAATAGCTGACAATTCATAGATAATTTAAACTTGGCGAGATATGTCGTACTCAATCATTTGCAAAGCTTACGATGAAGCTTAAGCTTGAACATGACGAAATGTGCATCAGGCACATTTGATTTTGTGACTTGTAAGCAATCATTTTAAGTATAAACATAAATTAAAATATTTCATGAAGCCTCTTTTTGCGAACCAATTCAAGCCATGAGAACTGAAATATGTCAGAGTTGAATTAACTCAAAAAATGAATTCGCGGCTAATCAGTTCAAGCTATCAAGTTAAATTGAAGTATATCAAAATATTACCCCTCGAGGCTCTTGATTGAAATAATTTAGCAAATGTCCACTAATTTCCTGGCAGAAATGCTTGTTTTAACCTACAATGAAACAATTTCGTCCGTCAAAACTTTTTATTTAATTCAAAATCATCGCTTGAATAAGTTTGCTTTCTAAAACCTCAAGATTTTGCAAACCAATGAAAGCTATCAAAAGAAGTTGAATCATTTCAACTTTCCACTAATTGACTGGCTTTAAAGAGTTTCAAAAGGTTACTTCAAGAATTTCAAATTATTCGCAAACAGTAGTTAATTGTCGAAGTAATTTTCAGTATTTCAAAGTTTCGTAGCTTGTTGGCTCGCTTTACTTAAGATTTGCGATTTTTCTTGAATACCATTTTTCAAATCCATTCAGGCGAGCAAATAACTTAAAAGCTTGCTTCAGTAGGTTTTAATTTCAAGTACGTCAACTCAGGTGCTCAAATCAAATTTAAGTTCGATGTTTCGTGGCTTGAATAGCTGGCTTCAGCGAATTATATTTCCTTTGCGAAAGATTTCAAGTCATCAAAACGCAAATTTTTCAAGTCATCAGTTTTTAGCGTGATAGTTTGCAAGCCATTGCGTCCAATTTTGATTTTTGCTGACCATTGCAAGCTATACTAACAAACATCTTGGTATGTTCAAGTTTTGTTTGTTTCTCTAGCTTGCTTCAAAAGGATGCACCATTGAATTTTCTACTGTTTTACTGTTCCCAATTTCGGAAATTTTTGTTTTTAATTTCTTGCTAGTTATAGTTTAAGTTTTACTCTTCGTCAATCGGGAGTTACTTTTTTAAGATTAATTAGTGTAGTGAACACTCCTATGTAGGTCCAGCCGATTTTTTGTTTGTTGTTTTCTTAGGAAAAAGTCATAGAAGTCTCTAATAACTACAGATGTGCTTTCATACATATTCATGCATTTAGGAATGCACATAGGTATATATCCACTTTCTGAGTTAATTGAAATTTATCTGCTGAAAGTGACGTAAATTGCACTAACGTGGAAATG